TCCACAGCTGCTGTTTGGGGACTGCTTGCTCCATAGCGCAGGAGGCCTAAGTCTGCAGCTGTGGTTTGGGTGGCTGCAGTGGCCTGGGGAGCTCTAGTCTTAACTCAGAAGGGGCAGGGCTCCCACTGGCTCCAGGGAGTGTGCAGCACCAGCTGTGCTTCCCTGCTGCAGTTGGTATGATGTCAGCAGCCACTGCCGTCAATATCACTATGTTGCATAGGGTAGTCTTGAACTCCTTGTCTTAAGGAATCCTTCTGCCTTGCCTCCCAAAGTGTTGGGATTACAGGCCTGAGCCACCATGCCCAGCCCAATATTACGTATTTCAGTGAAAACTGAGAAATTTTGCTGCAAGTCAACCCATTCTAAAAAAAAGAAAAAGAAACAAAAACGTTAAAAGAAATTATTCCACCTGATGGGAAATGATGTCAAATGACTTTTGAAGAAGTTACAAAAGAAAACATTTTATATTTATCCACATACTTACCATTTTCATTGTTCATAATGCTTCTTGCAGACCAACCTGACCAACATGATGAAACTCTGTCTCTACTAAAAATACAAAAGTTAACTAGGCATGGTGGTGCCTGCCTGTAGTCCCAGCTATTCAGGAGGCTGAGGCAGGAGAATTGCTTGAACCCAGGAGACAGAGATTGCAGTGAGCCGAGATCATGCCACTGCACTCCAGCTCAAAAAAAAAAAAAAAAACACACAAAACAGTATATGATAGTGTTTATAACAGAGGTAGGAGTAAAATGTATGACACAGAAACAATATAAATAGAATTGCATGTGGACTTATATAATATTAATTCAAAGTATATTGTGATGTTAAGGATGAATATTGTAAATCCTAGAGCAACTAAAAGTAATAATACAAAGAGGTATAAATCAAAAGTCAATGGAGAAAACAGAATGAACTACTAAAACAATATTCAATTAACCCAAAAAGAGTCAGAAAAGAGATAACAAAAGAAGAAATAAAAATGGGGACAAATAGGAAACAAAGACCAACATGCTAACTTCAACCCAACTGTATCAAGAATTGCATTAAGTCTAAATAGATCAAACGCTCCAATGAAAAGGCAGAGATTGTCAGACCGGATAAAATACAACACTCAAATAGACGTACCCTAAAAAACACATTCAAAAAGAGATAGACCTTAAATATATAAAGATTCTGACAGTTAAAAGTAAAAGGATGAAAACAAAAGAAAAGATGCAGAAGATAAATAGGAGAATAAAGCTGCCATGTCTGTTGTCATGAAAAGTAAAATTCAAGACAAAGACATTGCGTGAGATGATTATTCACAATGATAATAGAATCAAGTCATCAGGAAGATGTAGCAATCCTAATTATGTATATGCCTTATACATTTCAGAAACACACAAAGCAAAAATTGAGAAAACTAAAGGGAGAAACAGACAAACCCATAATCATAGTTAATAAATTTTGACACTCCTCTCTCATAAATTGATGAATAAGTAGATCAAAATTTAGTAAAGATATAGAAGATCCAAGCAACACTATTAAACAATTAAACCCAATTGCCTTTTATAAAACAGTATACCAACAGTTACAGAATGCATATAGTTTTCAAGTGCACATGGAACATTCAGCAAGATTGAACATTGGTCTATTTTTATGGTTCAGTATCATAAAAATATCCCAATAAATGTTAAAGAAATGAAACTATGGGGAATATCTTTCTGACCAAAGCACAATGAAATTAGAAATTATTAACAATAAAAAATAGAATACAAATTACCAATATCAGGCATGAAAAGACATAACTATAGATCCTACAGACATTAAAAAATGATAAGAGAATATTACATACAACTTTTTGCCAACAAATTTAAAAATTTAGATGAAATAAACAAATTCCTTGGGGAAAAAACACAACTTACCAAAACTAGCACAAGAATAAAAATATAAAATCTGAATGTCTCTATATCTATTAAAGGAATTGAATTCATAATTAAAAATCTTCACACGCATACACATAATCACCAGGTCCAGATGGCTTCACTGGCAAATTCTATCAAACATTTAAGTTAAAATGGTAACAAGTCTATACAAATTCAGAAAATAGAGAAAGAGAAAACCCTTCATAACTCCTTTTGTGAGGTCAACGTACTCCCAATACCAAAACTTGACAAGGAGATTATAAGAAAAGTAAATTAAATATAATATGCCTCTTAAACATAGATGCAGAAAAAACTCCACAAATTCAATAGAGCAATATAGAAGGAAGACAATATATTATGACTAAGGGGAGTTTATCCCAGGAATGTAAGATGGGTTCAACATGGACAGATCAATTAATACCATTCGCTATGTTAATAGAATGAAGAAAAAAAATCATGTGGGCATCTCAATAGAAGTAGAAAACATATTTGCCAAAATATAGTAACCATTGACGATAAAAACTTTCTGCAAATGAAAAATAAGACAGAATTTCCTCAATCTGACAAGCACATCTAAGAAAAATATATGTCTAATATATTATGGTAAAATAATGAATGTTCTTTCCTAAGATCAGGAACAATTCAAGATATCCTCTGTCTCTAGTTTTTTTCCAATATGATTCTGGAGTTTCTAGCCAATACAGCAAGGCAATAATAAGGAATGGACTACTGATACATGCAAAACCATGAATGAGTCTCAAAAACATTGTGCTGTGAGAAAGAAGCCAGCCACAAAAAGATGCGTACTGTCCGATTCTATTTTTATACAAAACTAACACAGGCAAACCTAGTTTATAACAACAGAAAGCAGATTGGGGGTTGCCTGAGGGTTGGTGAGGAGAGAGTGACTGCAAATAGGAAATTCTGGGGGTTCATGAAAAGGTTCTGTATCTGATTAGGGTAATTATTACAAGGGTGTTATACACTTGTGAAAATTTATTAAATTGTACGTTAAAATTGATGCATTTTATTGTATATCAATTATATCTTCTGTTTCGATTTGTTTAAATGGATACCATTAAGAAAATGAAAAGGTAAGTCACAGACTATAGGCAGTATAGACAAAATACTTACAATATAGTATCTGACAAAGGACTTGAAGCCAACAACGTACAAACAACTCTTACAACTCCAAAGTAAAAGTTAAAAAAAAATAATTTTTAATGGACAAAAACTTGAGCAGACATTTCACAAAAGAATATACAAATGGCCAATAAACACATAAAATTGTGCTCAAAATCATCCATCAGAGAACTGCAAATACAAATGAGACACAACTATATACCTATAAAAATGGCTAAAATCAAAAAGGTGGATGAAGTCAAGATTTGGCATAGATGTGGAGTAATGAGAATTCTCAGACACTACTGGTGGAACTGTAAAATAGAAAGACCACTTTGGATAACAGTTGGGCAGTTTCTTATCAAGTTGTGCCTATACCTATCTTATGAACCAGGTATTCCACTGCTAGCCATTTACTCAAGAAAAACTAAAACATATGTCCACAAAATTACTTACGTATAAATATTCACAGGAGTTTTTTCATGATTATCAAAAACTGGAAAGAATCCAAATGCCCATCATCAGGTGAATGGATAAACCCAGCGTAGTGTAGTCCATACATAATGCTGGAAAACTATTCAGCAATAAAAAGGAGAAAACTCGCCGGGCGCGGTGGCTCAAGCCTGTAATCCCAGCACTTTGGGAGGCCGAGGCGGGTGGATCACGAGGTCAAGAGATCGAGACCATCCTGGTCAACATGGTGAAACCCCGTCTCTACTAAAAATACAAAAAATTAGCTGGGCATGGTGGCGCGTGCCTGTAATCCCAGCTACTCAGGAGGCTGAGGCAGGAGAATTGCCTGAACCCAGGAGGCGGAGGTTGCGGTGAGCCGAGATCGCGCCATTGCACTCCAGCCTGGGTAACAAGAGTGAAACTCCATCTCAAAAAAAAAAGGAGAAAACTCCTGTTGCAAATGACCATGTAGATGAACCTCAAAAACATGATGTTGAGTGAAAGAAGCTAATACCAAAAGAAGACACAGTGTAAGCTTTCATTTATATGAAGTTTGAGAACAGACAAAGGCAACCTATGGTGCGAGAATGCATAACTGTGTTTACCTGGGTAGGTAGGGGACTGATTGGACAGCGACAGAAACGAACTTTCTAGGGTGATTTAAAATGTGGTCTATCTTGGTTAGTGTGCTGGTAACGTGGGCATACACATTTGTTAAAATATATTTTAACAGTGTACTTATTATTTGTACATTTTATTGTGTTTTTATTCTTTAATCTTAAAAAAATAAATATAAAGGACTTAACACATAGAAAATGTTCAACCACCATTAGTTCCCTCATCCTTCACCCCTCCCATTCCCACTAGGCAAGTACCATAGATGCTAGGAGAACATTTATGATCACTGAACCTCTGAGAATAGGAGTGTAATTTTCTTCAAAGGGAGAAGGTGCCCTCTACAGCATGACCTGGAAGAGTCTCCCTAGTCCAGGCCCAGAACTATAAATAACAAGGATAGTGCCTAGAGTGATTTCATTCTGAATCTCCCTCCGGGTCTAGGTTATTCTGAGTTTTGTCCTTCAAGTTTAGGTCTGGGCTTCCAACGTCTCAAACCAAGAGAGTGGAATTTAGTTGGGTCTTTCCAAGAGATGCGAGATGACAAAATGTGGGAGTAGGTAAGAGACTCTGAGGGGAACTGCATTTGTGGGAAGGCTATAAAAGATATATTATGGCTGGATGTGATGGTGCACACCTGTAGTCCCAGCTACTAGAGAGGCCGAGACAGGAGGATCACTTGAGCCCTGGAGTTTGAAGCCAGCCTGGGCAACATAATGAAACTTTGCCCCTAGGGAAAAAAAAAATTAAGGTAAGGTAAGAAAACTAGTATTGGAGCCAGATGTTGAAGATCTATAAAGTTAACAGTATGTAAATGCTCAATAATTGTTTATTGATTAAGTAAAGGAACCAGCCACTGAGTCTGTGGAGGCTGACTGCCGCCCCCTCCTTCCTGTCTTGCAGCTCACATACCTGCCCCCGCCGTGGGGTGAGTGCCGATCCTCAGAGATGGGCCTCGACTTTTTTCCTGTTTACAGTATCACCGCCTGTAGGATTGACTGTGAGACCCGCTACATCGTGGAAAACTGCAACTGCCGCATGGTCCACATGCCAGGTCAGTGCCAGAGCAGGGCGGCCACAGGGCCTTGGGACCTGCCTGAGACCCGCCTTGCATTTCTTGTCCTAATGGGAAACACTTCACCCACTTCACTAGCATCCAAAAGGGTGATATTCTGGGAAGACTCTGTGATTTGATGTCTAAACATTTAGAGGGCAGGTAGAAACTTCTAGTCCAGCAACCAAAGCAGCATCCTGGTGTCCAGAAGCAACTAGTGTTTGGGGAATGCTCATCCCAGTGTTCAATGTTTGCCAATTGTCTGCTGCTCTTACCTCTGAGAGTATAGTGTCCAGATAACTGGATGCTTGCAATTCTTGCATCTCGTGTAGTACGTGTTTGAGCATCCAGATGTTTGTTGCTTTCATCCGGATGTTTCCCCTGTTTGCATCCAAATGTCTAGCACTCCTTCAAATGAGGCAAAGTTCTATTAGCCGGCAGATAAATGTGCATGTAATGACACCTCTGATGTCAGGCTAACAATGCCATGTGGCCATCTCATGCAGTTGGCTCATCAGAGGCTGAAGTGCAGAGTGGAAAGCTGATCAGGGGAGGAAGAACGTGGTGGGGCAGCAAGGAAGCACGAGTGGGCCTGGGTTTCTAATTCAGATTCTTCCACTCATTGACTGTGATACATGGTGACTAAACCTCTCTGTTCTCACTTTTACGATCTTTAAGACACAATCATTAGTTGTTATAAGGTGAAAATTAGGCTAGGATATGAAAATGCTTTGTAAACCATGAAAGTCAGTGATTGTTATTTAGCATGTTGGAAGAGGAAACCAAAAGTCATGTTGACTGAAGACCTACTATATGCCAGGAATGTTGCTATTATATTTAGTGGCTGCTATTTCATGGTTATATCATACTTCATTCAATTTTATTTAACTAAATCCTTATACTGGACATTCAGCTCATTATCAATTGTTTTCTGTTATAGCCCATGCTGAAATGAACATCTTCACTGCTACATTCTGAATTATTTCATTCGTTATCAGCAATTTCCTTAGTAATCTAAGATTTAAATTACTGATCTTTAAAATTGCCTCTGTCACAAGGGACTTTGCCAAAATGATTAAGGTTACCAACTTTAAGTGGGGAGGTTATCTGGGTGGGCCCCATCTGATCAGGGTCCTCAAAATCAATTCCCCTTTTCCAGCCAGGGTCAGAGGGAAATGTGACTATGAAAGCAGAGTCAGAGAGATGCGAACTTGTTCAATCTGAACATGGAAGACTCTGGGGAGTCGATGCATGTGGGTGGCCAGGGAATGTGGGGGTGGCCTCTGGAAGCTGGGAAAGGCGAGGAAATGAATTCTCCCCTACAGCCTCCAACAAGAACATTGGCCTCCCACCCAACACCTTGATTCTGAACCAATGAAACCTATATTTAACTTCTGACCTACAAAACTGTAACATAATAATAAATGTGTATGTTTTAAATAAGAATAATAAAATGGTCTGTGAGCTTCCTAGAAGACAGAGCAAACAGGGAAACATGTCATTCAACCTGTTGTTTTTGGAAAGGAGAAAGCATATTGACTCTTCGGCTCTGAAAAAGGGTTTTGGGAAAATGATAAGGAAAAACATTATGGAGGACTTGAAATTTAGCACTTGGTAAAAATAAAAAATAAAAATAAAAATAAAAATAAAAATAAAAAGATCCTGGGCTTCTACAAAGAGAACCCAGTGAGGAGAGCTCACAGTGGGGAATGTTACTCATCTGAGGCTCAGACTAGGCCACCAGCCAATGAGGTTTTCCCCACCAACCCTCAGCCAAAGGCAAGCAATAGACATGTCAATCACACCCATGCACTAATACTGATATCTCAGTTACTAACGTGGAATTATGAACAAAGCAATGAAGAAACACAGTGCAACCCTTGATCCCATACAGAAGTGTGGTTGTCTTGAGAAGAGCTTTAAGCTCTGGATCAGGCTGACCTCTGTTCAAAGCCTTCATCACGGCCAGCCTTGGTGTCCTGGGAAGGTAGGATGTATAAGCTTCAAAACTCTCACGGGTAAAACAGATACAGTGCTTCCGACTCAAAGGGTACCTGAATGGGTAAAGAAGATGATGTATAGCCAGCGTACAAGGTGCTCGTCACTGCCTCCCCAGTCTCTGTTCTCAAGGCAAGCTCACCTGTCACCCACAGGAGGTGGCTGGACCTACAGAACAACATGGGAGAAGTCAGCCATACAGATCCAACTATCTCCTGCTCAAGGAGGTGAACAGCCTGCCCAAACTCACTTAGCAGATCATAAGCCAGCCTTCCAGCTCAGTGGTGCACTGTGATCCAAGGCTCCCTTCGAACTATCCGCTGGCAGCCGCTGCCCCTTCAACTGCCAGGAGGCACCCCTTCCCTCAGCCCAAAGCAGAGGAAGTGTTTCTGACATGAATGTTCCTGCCTGAGTAACTGTCTGGTGTTTCTTCTTTGCAGGGGATGCCCCTTTCTGTACCCCTGAGCAGCACAAGGAGTGTGCAGAGCCTGCCCTAGGTCAGTACTCAGGGGACAGATGGAATCCTGGAGGCAGGGGGCCTGAGATTGAGATCATAGAGATCATCTTGGTGTGGGGAAAGATCAAGCAGAAGAAAGAATGGAGAAAGGATAAGAAGAAAGTGGCTGGCAGGGTAGAGTCACTGCAGCAATGGGAGAGGCAGATGGAGAAAAGGAAGAAGAGAATGTTGGGGAAGGAGATGGCGCAAGAGAATGAGGGGCTGGAAATGGGACTGAGGGAGAGAAAGGAGGTGTGGAAGCTGGAGATGGAGGAGTAGGTTTCAGGGGAAATGGAGGGTGCTGAAGAATGCAGGGGAGAGGACAGAGAAGGAGAGGGGATAGACAGCGGACGGCCAGGTGGCCACCAGAGGAGCTTGGCAATACCTCCCCTCACACACTCACTCTGCTAGTGTCTACATGGGGAGGCCAAGGCGATTCTGAAGTCCCATCTTTCTTATGCTCCATTGAGCCTGGGGGAGGTGGCGGAGGGCTGGACACACTCTGCATGCTCCCCACTCTCTGGACCCAGGAAATGGTTTATAATCAAAACAGGCAGAATTTTTAAACAATGTGCACTCAAATTTGTTCAGCATCTGCACTTGCCGGAGCCAAGTGAGGCAGTGCTGGCCTCAGGTCCGGATACCTCCAGGAGGACTAGAGAGGGTGGCCGGGCTGAGAGGAGAGGGAGTGACTTCTGATATGTGCAAAGACTCAGCAAAACCCGGGGTAGCCTGAAACACTGAGTGGCTAGAGGAAAAGGGAAGTGAGGTGTTAAAGAAAAAAATCATTCTGACACTATTTAAAATGGTAAGGAAGTCTTTATTCAGGGCAACCGCAACAGGTGTCAAGAGTATCACAGTAGGGGAAAGGGATGGGGCTCAACTCAGAATACAGCCAAGACAGCTGGAGATTCACAGCCATCAAGCAGAGCAAGGGGTCAGTAGATGGAAAATTACCCAGAGAAAACATCCATGGTAGGGGGAAATCTTGCTGAAGGCAGGCCAAGGTGATCAGATATCAAGGGTTGGGGGTTCTCTCTAAACTGACTTAAGCAGGATTCTTGCTAAAACTGGGCTGGGCAGGTCCAGCATGGATGGGGGCCAAGGTCAAGGCCTAGTTGAGAACAGGGCGCTGAAGAGCCTGGCTAAGTCCGATCAGGGAGAAAGTCTTTGTCAGAGGGAAATGGTGCCTTAAATTTTATGTCTAATTGGAAGAAGAGAGGAGAGGGCCAGAAAGGTTCCAGATGCAAGGAGTGGCCTCCAGGGAAAGGAATTGAAGGATCTTTGCCTACATCCTAACCCAGAGGAGGTGGGCATTGGCTGTAAGGGAGCCCCAGTGGGAATGGCAGAGAGCCCTGGGTTTCAGGTAAAATAGTCTCCCACATTTGCGTTGATGGTGGCCCACTCTATGGATGAGAATACTGAGGCTAGACGCCATGGGAAGCTGAGGGCACTAGGATTCTCTTGGAGACCTCTGCAAAAGTGGCAACATTTCAACAATTTTTAAAGAGTGACATGACCGTTAAAGGAGGCAGAAGGAAAACAAGCTCAACCTACAGCGAAAGCCCAGCTCCCCACCCTCCACAATCCCCGCCCCTCACTTTCCCTGGACCGGCACCCCTTCCCACCTCACTTCTCAGCTGCTAGAATCCAGCTACTCTGGGCCCTTAGAAATCCCAGTCCTCACACCTGACTAAGCCCCACCTCCCTGGTCCCTCCAGGTCTGCTGGCGGAAAAGGACAGCAATTACTGTCTCTGCAGGACACCCTGCAACCTGACCCGTTACAACAAAGAGCTCTCCATGGTGAAGATCCCCAGCAAGACATCAGCCAAGTACCTTGAGAAGAAATTTAACAAATCAGAAAAATACATCTCGTAAGTTGAGGGGGCATGGTCGGCAGGGGAAGGGGGAAATGGGTAAGGAGGAAATTGGAGGCAATCAAGGAGGAAAGTAAAGATATTTGGTTCAAGTTAGCAAATGTTAATTGAGCACCTTCTGTGTGTCAAGCTCTGTGCTCTATGCTCAGAACACAAAGACAAAGATGAGTAAGATTCAGCCCCCGCCCTGAAGAAGCTTGCAGTCTTACCGGGAGACAAGCCCACAACTGAATCCCATATAGGGTGACTTTGGCTATCATAGGGGGACGCATACGGAAGGAGAGAATGATGGGTTAGCTGCAGCTTGCATGGGGGTAATATTAGGGTAAGCTTCAGAGATTTTTTTAAAGGTGTATAGTTTTCCAGGCAGACCTTGCACGTACTATTTCCTCTGCCTAGAATTCTTTTCTTCCCATTCTCCACCTAACTGGTTCCTCCTTAAGCAGGTGTCCATTTAAATGTCATCTCCAGCTGGACATGGTGGCTCGTGCCTGTAATGCCAACTCTTTGGGAGGCCGAGGTGGGAGGATTGCTTCAGGCCAGGAGTTCAAGCTCAGCCTAGGAAACATAGTTAGATCCTGTCTCTGAAACAAATAAAAATAAAAACAAAACTGCAGTTATCTCAGGCATCTAGATTAGGTGCACTCCTGTTACTTTTCTCTCCAAGTCCTCTGGTGTTTTCCTTTATAACAGCACAGTGTGTAATTACATATTCATGTATGTTTCCTTGTTTATGACCTGTCTGCCACACTAGATTGAAAGCCCCCTGAAGGCAGGAAACTGTCTTTTTTGTTCTTTCTGTCTGCCAAGTACTTGTGGAGCAAATGGCACAGAGTTGGTACTCAAAAAATGTGTTTTAACAGAATAAATGAATGAAAGCATGGGGGAAGTGAGTATCCTTGGCAGAGACTCAGCAGAGACCATCAGCACAGGGCAGAAGAGAGAATTTCACAGGGGAGGATGGATGTGTCAGAGCAAGAGAATCTTTTGGCCGAGCCGAGCAGGTGCAGGGGGTGGGCTTCATTCTAACAGAATAGGGAGCCACTGAAGAGCTTTCAGAGGTGAGTGACAGACTCAAGTTTGCATTTCGACCACTGCTCCCCAGCAGGACAAATGTTCTGCAATGATGGAAATGTTCTGTATCTGGAACGCCCAGTGGGGTAGCTGCTGGCCACCTGTGGCTGATGAGTATTTGAATTGCAGCCTGTGTGACTGGGGAGTAGAGCTGTCATTTTATTTCATTTGAATCAACTTAGCAGTTTTAGAAAGATCCTTAGGGCGGCGGTAGAGAAGACAGGGGAAGGCAGATGGGAAGAAGGGAGCCACTAGGAAGTGGCTGTTGCAAGCCAGGCAAGAGAGGGCGATACTTTGAAGCGCTCCCCTGGGAGCCCTGCTCTTAGAAGAAACTGCTCCTCGCTTCCCCAGCCCCTCCCTCCCGCCAACACTGTCCCCAGACCCCATCCTGGGCCAGCTTTTGCTCAGCGAGTTGAGAATAAGGAACACTGAAGGCATTGAGAGCACATTGGAGGAGACGGGAATTGTGGGAGACGCCAGGCCCTGCTGCTTGGCAGACAGTCTGCAGGCAGCGATGACTTTTACTGCCAAGATGTGTCTCACTCACACACCTGCCGAAAGGAGCAAAGCAAGCCGCCATGCGTCTTCCAGAACACCCCCCAGCCAGATGTAAGCTTGCTCCCTGCAAACCTTCCCTGACTTCGGCGGTTGACTCGGCAATGCCAGAGCAGGGCCTCCCACCAGGAGCTTGTTATAAATCCCAGTAGGAATTTAAGGGGTCTCAGGAGTGGGCAGGCGCTGCCCATGAGGTCAGCTGAAGCAGGCACCCCAGCCAAGGCAAGACTTGTCAGGAGATTACTGAAACTCACCTTCATGCTGAGGACCAGGCAGGCCCTTGGGGGCTCAGAGGACTGGAAGCCAGGCAGGACTCCTGCAAAGGGGGCGAAGAGAAAGCGAGAAGAGAGAAATGAGCTGCACAAGGAGGCAGCTGGTTAGGCTTCCAGCCCTGGGCTGGGAATCAGGCCTCTTGGTTTAAAGCTGCAGCTCTGCCACTCACCAGCACTAACTTTGGGCGAGTTGCCTCACTTCTGGGCCTGCTTCTCCATCTTTCCATGGGAAAGCTGTATTAGATGCTCCCTGCGAATGCTGATAGCGCTAACCATGTATGGTACTGACTATTCTGTCTGCAGAGAGAACATCCTTGTTCTGGATATATTTTTTGAAGCTCTCAATTACGAGACAATTGAACAGAAGAAGGCGTATGAAGTTGCTGCCTTACTTGGTAAGTCGGTGTCTGTTGCACAAATTTCCGCATTTCACAGAGGGTGGGAGGGAGGGAGGATGCCCAGGTGGATGGGGAGGCAGGCAGACAGACACATAGCCTCGGAGGAGTCTAACCTTTTAATTTACTAACGATTACCCCCTCTTTCCTTGCACTGCTCCTCTCCCGGAATGGAAAGAACCCCAGTGGGGTGGAATTTCAGGCCCAATTCATTCTCTGATCTTGGCTTCATTTTCCCCACCTATGCAATGAGGAGGGTGAGCCTAAAGGTCTCTCTGGGCCTTTCCAGCCCTGCACTCTTGGAGTTCATGATCTTCTGCCCCAGGTTGCAGTCAGGATCCTGTGGCCATGGAGGGAGGGAAGAGGTATCAGAAGAAGAGAAGGTGGGAAGGCTGAACTGTGGGTGGCCCCAGGCGGGGCACAATGAGGACCCTGATGGAGCTTCACCCCAAAAGCAACACTGCTGCATCAGGAGGACCAGGTGTTGCCCCCTGGACTGAGTCATTTGTCAATCACAAATGAAGGGCCAGTCCCCCCAGGTATCCACAGACCCGCTGCCACTCCACACAAGTTGACATGAGCTCCCCGGCCCCAGTGGCACATGATGGACACAGGGGGGTAATTTCCATCCTGCTCCAACCCAGCCCCAAACTCACAAGACCCCTGAGAGTGGACAGCTAAAGGACTTGACCCGCGAGCCCTTCTCCAGGCTCCCATTCACTCTCAAAAAAGGATCTGATGCCTGTGCCCCAGAAAGAGAAATAGCTGTTGCCTCCCTGAGCTGAACCAGGTGATGCTGGCATTTTGGAAGGGGCAGGTGCCTCCTATCTGGCTCCTCACACCAGCTGTGAGAATATGGGCAAGTAGCTTTACCTTGCTGAACCTCCGGTTCCTCATCTGCAAGATGGGTTTAATAAAACCCACTGTAAGAGCTTGTTGTGATGGTTAAATGTGATGAGCTCCTTGCCCAGAAAAGGTCCATAAATTGTAGTTTCGGCACCTGGACAGTCACTATTCCAGGGACCCAGACCTCAGCTGGCTGGGCATTTCTTTTCTTTTCTTTTCTTTTCTTTTTCTTTTTTTTAAGACAGTCTTGCTCTGTCACCAGGCTGGAGTGCAGTGGCACAATCTCGGCTCACTGCAACCTCCACCTCCGGGGCTCAAGTGATTCTTCCACCTCAGCCTCCCAAGTAGCTGGGACCAGAGGCACGTGCCACCATGCCTGGCTAATTTTTGTATTTTAAGTAGAGACGGGGTTTCACCATGTTGACCAGGATGGTCTCGATCTCTTGACCTAGTGATCCACCCGCCTCGGCCTCCCAAAGTGCTGGGATTACAGGCGTGAGCCACCGGGCCCGGTCTAGCTAAGCATTTCTATACCTCCTCCAGGAGGCTGGGGACTCCCAGCCATAACTCAGTCCCAGCTGGGTTAAAGCGGCTGTCACTCAGCCTCAGAAGTCATTGTGACCAAAGCTACTGAGCTAAGAGACTCATGCCCTTGTCCCCACCAGAGACGTAGACCCCCTCACTAACCCCTGTGCTGGCCTTGCCTTTTATTTCCATAAAGAGGACTCGGGACAGGCCTCTTCCCACCCCCTGCCCTCCCCCAACATAGGCTCACAGTCCTCTCTCTCTCTCTCTCCCTCTCTCTCTCTCTCTCTCTCTCTCGCTCTCGCTCTCGCTCTTGCTCTCTCTCTCTCTCACACACACACACACACAGAGAGAGAGAGAGAGAGAGAGAGAGAGAGAGAGAGAGAGCAAGAAGGACCTGAGCTCTGAATCTGTCATGTCTGCATCAGATATGAGAATTAGCTTGTTCCCAGCATCATGTTCCCACCCAGAATAGCCGGCTGAGGAGCTCATGCTGCCATCTGGACCTCCTATGATGACAGCGTGTGCCGCTTGCAAACCCTCAGCCATCAGGCCCCATCAGGCCCTTCTCCCAGCACCGCGTGGCCCTCTCTCACCTCCTGGTGTCCAGGCACATGCACGCTACACAGCACTCACACTACCCACAGGGTACCCCACCGCAATCTGCACACACAAGCAACAAACCTACAGGTTCGTGCACCCACGGTAGTCCAGAATCACACATGCAAATGCTCACCTCTACAGCCCCATGTACAAATCACACAGCTACAGAGAGACACCTGTGCACACAGCCCCCACACACCCCCATATACACACACAAGCACACCCACACTACACATGCCATACATACTCAGACATGCTCTGCCCACCTCCACAGACCCCCACTCACACACTTAGACACATTCAAGGTGCCTAAACTAGATAGGGAGAGTCACCTACATAAAGCCATCCACAGCCAGACCTCCTGCCTGCTTTCATACAAATCCATGCACACACCCTGGACCCTGGCACAAACCCCCCACCATACCACTACAGACTCACACTACACATGCGCATCACACACCTCCCACCCAACATACATACCCATGAGAACAAAGTCCCCAGGAAGCCTCCATTAAAGACATGAGAGGGGGACGGGGAAAGGAATGAGGGAGAGCCATTTGGAGCCCAGCACCAAGCCCCACTGGGAAGCGCCCTCTCCCAGCCATCTCTGTGGTTCACCTGGGCATGTGGGTGCTGGTCCCCACCCAGCCATAAGCTGAGGAGGAGTGGGGCACATCTGCCCACCGGAGAGTTCTCAGACCAAGAGGCCAACCTGGCATCTCCAAGAGAACTGTCCAGCTGTCCCCAACTGTGCCCCCCAACCCCATATTCCCACCCCTCTTTCTGGAGACTGAGAGTCAGAGATTAGGGCTGGAAAGAACTCCATAGTTCATCTGACCCAACCCCTCCATCCTGCACCAACACCAACTGTCCTTTGGAGGCAAAGCTCCTGAGAAGGTCAAAACTTACAAAAGCCACACAACCAGCTGTTGGCCACTCTCTGGACTCAGAGCCTCAGAGCCATATGCTCTGCCACACTGCCTCTGCAGCAAAGCAGCTTAAGTTTTTGGGGACTCGGAATCCCTGTTAAAAACTCGTGATAGCTATGGACTCTCCAGGAGCACACGCATTTTGCATTCAATTTCAGGAGAGTTCCCAGCCACCTGAAGACCTCCCAGGAAATGGTTCTCAAAGTCTGGTGGGCCTGAGAATGCACCTCACCCCCAGCAGGAACGTAAAAATCCTGACATCCAGACCCCAACCCCAGAGGCTCTGATTCTATTGGCCTAGGTGTGTCCAGGCATCAACACTGATTACAATTCTTTCAGGAGAGTTAAATGCAGGGGGATCTAAAGACAAATCCAGAAAAACTTTAAACAATGGGGGCCCGTAAGTCCCAGAGTAAGAACCTCAGCTCTAGAAAGTGTCCAAATTGCACATTTACCTTCGTGTGGGGAAGATAGGAGACACCTGTGACCTTATCCCAAGGGTGGGAGGTGTCTCAAGGTGGCCCTGAAGCCCATATTATGTCAGGTTGGGGTGTACCTGCTCCTGAGATTCCCACCCAGGGCACCTGCCTCTAGTCCATACACATTGTATCTCTCCGCTCTCGCTGTTCCCAGCCCAGAGTCAAAGCAGGACCCAATCAGAGTAGTTCAGTGCAACTGAACAACCCCGTTAGCCCTGTGGGTCATGCGATCTATTCCTAGCCCCTCCAATAAGCCATCAGGTTAGTCCCCGACCCCACTTAATGCTGAAAAACACTAGCTCGCAGAGCTGTGCAATGAGGGAAGGAGCTGCCAAAGGCCTGGCCCTCCTACAGCGAGGCCGAGACCCCTGTGGAGGGAGTACCACTCAGAAGCTCTGGGTTCCATCTGTCTGTTCACCCTTCCTGGAAGCTGCATAAAAGCACATCGTTGGTCTTTTCCCTCTCTCTCCAGGTGATATTGGTGGTCAGATGGGATTGTTCATTGGTGCTAGTATCCTTACAGTACTAGAGCTCTTTGATTATATTTATGAGGTAAGATTTGGGATTCTCCACAGGGAAATGACCACATGCTGGTGCCCTGATCCTGCCCCATGTCCAGGACCACCGCAGAGGGAAGGTGGTGCCTCTCTCCATGCAGAGCCTGCTTCCCCTCCTGTCCACCGATAAGAGTCGATCATTGAAGCCCAGGCACCGTGGGGGAAGGGGATGGGAGTTTTTTTGGGGGGTGGTGGGTGTAAGAGAAACACAGGCCTGTCCTCTGGGAGCTGGAACAGCACTGGGCCATCTACGCTGGCAGGGAAGGATGGGCAGGGATCAGAAGAAGGGGACGGATTGTGCAGAGGCCAGCTCCGAGCCCCTCCTGCAGCTGGGCTGGAGGTGGTGGCTTCATCCATGGGCAGGTACACACCTGCACACAAGCTCCCCGACCCACACACACCTCCCCTCTAGGTGGCCCATCCAGAGTCATGTCTTCTGTGGCCCAGTCAGTCTTAGGGAAGGGGCACTTCCCAGCAATCCTCAGCATTCCTGAGCGAGAAGACAGCAGGGCATGCCGGCTGCCCCGGCTGCTGACAGTCTGGGGAGATGTCTCCCTCAAGAGGTGGCTGGAACAAGGCCTCTAAAAGCTTCTCTGGCACCAAGAGTCCCAGAGTTGTCAGCCTTCTCAGCTGTACCTCCCTCTGAGAGCGAGCCCGGGGATGCCACCATCCCAGGCTCTGTCCTGACCAGTGCTGCCTTGGAGGCCTCCATCCCCCTGGCTGTGAGATGGGCAGTGCACTTCACCTCCAACGTGCACCCCTGAAAAAGGCAATGGCTCCAGAACTTCCAAAGATCGCCCGAACCTGTGAAGTCCCCCAAACAGGAGCAGTAGACAGGAGCCGGCAGAGCCATGTTCTGCCTCTCAGAGGCATCTGTCGGTGACCAAAAGCTGCTCGGAACCACGGTGGGGAGCTTTGTGGGACTGCCCACAAAGACAGCAGTCCACACTGCAAAACAGGGCCCTTCATTACCTCTTCCAAGTTCTAGCTCCTGGTCACCCAGTGACCAGGCTCCTCTGGAGAATCTCACTCCTCTGGGAACAGTGACCCCAGAACCACATCAGTTCCCACGGCCAGATTCTGTTCTGCTTTGTTTATGGATTTTTGTGAAAAACTGTACACAGTTGTGGCAACTGAATCACACCAGGTAACAGATTTAAGAACTACCCTTTATTGCTAGGAATAAAATGTTATGAACTCAGACATGCCCTGGTCTTCTGAACTGTGTGCAGTATCAGGCCTAGACAGCAGATAATAATCTTGTCCACCAGGCCCAGCCACAGAAAGGGGAGGCTTCTCCTCAGGACAGACAGGGAGCCAGCCGTACCAGGGCATGCCACCTACTAACACTCTCCAGCACAAAGACAGCAGTCCATGCTGCGATGCAGGGCCCTCCATGACCTCTTCCAGGTTCTGGCTCCTGCAACAAAATCCCATTTCAGCCAAAAGGCTGGGTTGAGACAGACAGGCACCTGGAGCTGGCTGCCAGGCTGGGCTTGTGCCACATTCTGTCCAACCACAGCTCGGGCAGCTGCCAGCCCCAGCGGGGCCCAGTGGAGGGAGGTCCCTTCTACCTCTGCACCCTCCTCCCGGCCTGACCAACCCTTCCTGATTTTCTTGCAGCTGATCAAAGAGAAGCTATTAGACCTGCTTGGCAAAGAGGAGGACGAAGGGAGCCACGATGAGAACGCGGTAAGAGCAGCTCACTGATTGGCTGTGGTTCTGCCACGATGAGAACGCGGTAAGAGCAGCTCACTGATTGGCTGTGGTTCTGCCACGATGAGAACGCGGTAAGAGCAGCTCACTGATTGGCTGTGGTTCTGCCACGATGAGAACGCGGTAAGAGCAGGTCACTGATTGGCTGTGGTTCTGCCACGATGAGAACGTGGTAAGAGCAGGTCACTGATTGGCTGTGGTTCTGCCACGATGAGAACGCGGTAAGAGCAGCTCACTGATTGACTGTGGTTCTGCCGGTCTGGCTTGTACTGGCAGTATGAAACCAGATACTGGGGCCAGGCAGGAAAGATGTGACTCACTGCACACCTTCTCATGGCTTGGGACATGCTGTCAGTTCCCAAAGCTGAGGACACTCCAGCTGAGCCTCGAGCCTCTCTCTCAGACTCATCCCAGAAGCCAGTATGGATGCAGCAGACACCAGGAGGTGCTTCCAAGCGTAGGACCTGCCTGGCCCACTCCAGCTCCTCCCAGGCAGTCAGCTGCTCCCCTCATCTCACAGCAGGGGGAGAACTGGAGAGGTTCTGGATGTCTGCTCCCTTATTCCCCAGTGGTGGCAAAGCACAAGCAGAGCACCAGTGGCTCTCCATCCCATTCAAAACGGATAGACTATGCAGCCCCATGAAGTTGGTAGTAGCAATAGTGCCCATTATAGCTACTGACTATTGTATGCCTGATACATATCAGGCACTGTCAGGCACTTTGTATCTGAGGCCATTGAGGCCCAGAGACCAAAGTCCCACAGATGCTGAGTGTCAGAGCAGCCCTCCAAGTGCGTCTAACCACTGCCCCACTCTGCCTTTCTTTCCTATAGCCCGAGGGGCAGCCCCTCTATGGCTGTTGGTCATTCTCCTTCCCAAACTCAGTCTCCTCCTGGGCTCAGGCCTTCGCGGAAGGGTGCAGGTGTTGCTGGCTTTCCCCATCCAGCCTTGGGCCCCAAATCAGCACCTCCAGCCATGGAAAATCATGCCCACTGAGTGACCACCACCCACTTAATGTCAATAAATCCAAAATGGATCTCAGCCCCTTCCCCCCTATATGGGCTCCCATTTCTATTCCACACACTGTCTATATACATCTTGCTTTGATTCTCCGGTCCCCTGCAGCCTCTGTGGAAGGAAAGACAGCTGAGGGGGAGGGCAGCATGGAATGTGCCCATGCTCTGGCCTCAACTGGCCTGGCTGGATCCCAGGGCTCCAGCTTCCTGGCTGTGTGCCTGGGAACAAGTTATATATTTAACCTCCCTGAGCATCTTCACAGATCAGACCCCAGGAGGCTGTCACCCGAGTTAAGTGAGATCCTGCCAGCAAAGCAGTCAGCACAGCACCCAGTTTATAATAAGTGCTCAGGAAGTGGTTCCCTTTGCCCCCCAGAGCCCTTCTTGCTTCAGAAGATCTCAGCGTCACAGCCTCTTCTCCATCCTGTTCCTCCTCCCCTAGCTGTGGCCCCATCAAATCTTCCCCAAATTCCTGGCATAGCCTCCTGGCTAGTTGTCCCCTGCTCCCATCCCTCCTGGCCTCCCTCCCACCACAGCCTGGGAACCAGGCTGAAGATTCATGTGCGGCCAGCTCAGCCCCTCCCTGCTTAGGCACCCACAACTACGTTTCCCTGGGTCCAGCTTAACTCTAAAAGTCCTTGGGGCAGCTCTGACCAGCTCCAGTTCTGAGCTCTAAGGCCTTCTACCCTTCCTGCTTGGCCTCAGCCAGGGGTGCTCCCTGCCCCAGGCCTAGCCACAGACTGCAGTTTCTGCACCAAAGCCCCAAGGAAGGCCCCCAAGGGAGAGGTCCAGACTCAGGACCATCCAGCCTCAAAGCTAGAGACTACTCAGGGATAGGTCCAGTTACATGAGGGGCACCTCTAGGAGGGATTAAATCAGCTGCTGATCAAACCAGGGAGCCTTCTCACTGCCATAGGGGCACCTGGGTATGCAATGGTAAGAATTCCATTCAGCCTCATGCCCCACAATGGCAAAGCAGCCTATCAGATGTCTGGAGCAGGAGCAGCCCAGAAGTGGGGAGCACCTTCCCTAGGGCCGAGGCTGGGCCGCTGGTGGCATCACGATGTATTTTTGCTGAGCGAATAATCAACTCGCACCAACCATTCCCTTCCAGAGCACTTGTGACACAATGCCAAACCACTCTGAAACCATCAGCCACACTGTGAACGTGCCCCTGCAGACGGCCCTGGGGACCTTGGAGGAGATTGCCTGCTGACACCCCTCGAGCCACCCAACACCCCCTCCAAACAGACCTTGAGGCCCAAGACCCAGGACAAGGAACAGAAAGCTCAGGTGGGATGGCCCCTGACGCCAGAAGAAAGCAAGAGTCCCTATGCACACACTGCAGACTAGCTGCCTAGACCTCGCTCTGGCCACGTCCAACACGACGCGTCCTTGGGTCCCGCCGTGCGTCACTCTTAGGAGAGATGAGTCACACTCTGGCACTGTCCAAGAACAAACCTGCCATCACATCTCACTGCCAGATGTATAAAGCACCTGCATGCTCAGACTTCTTACGGCGCCACCTCCACGTCTGTCTTGTACATGACATTCCTCCACGCGGTTTCCAGTGTCCACACTGCTGCCCGTGCGGTGGGACCAGATTCCAGGTCCAGAGTCATCATGAGGCCACCCTGGAATCTGAACTGCACAATCAAGAGGGAACCGCGGGACTCTGCTACATTCAATTCTTGTGTCGTTTGTGAAGGTTCTTAACCTGCCCACAAACCCCTTTCCCCCAACCTGGCCCATGGGGCTTCAGTGCCAAAGGTGACCCGGGCCAACCTCCCTCCCGCCCCGGCGCAGCACAGCAGCCAGCGGACAGGGGGCTCCCCTGTTCACCCATGGTGCCCACGTCGTTCTTCTCTTCCTGTGACACAACTTGTACAGTCTGATTCTTTTTATTTGGGGTCGGGGGGCTTTTATGTTTGTCTGATGGAGATTTGTTTTGTTTTGCTTTGTTTTATGCTTTTTTTAAAAATTTTAATGTTCTGAGGTTTGGTTTGGTTTTTCCATTTTCTTTGGCGTTTATTTATTCGTGCTTCAAATCACGGTCATATTAAAAGCTGGTCTTGTGGAAATGGCTGAGTTATTTCCGCCTTTTCTCCACATTCAAGTCTCTCTCCTCTGGGGCTTGCCAGGTCAAAACTGCAGACTGTGTATCTGTAAAGTTTTATGCAACAACACTTACCTTTACCAAATGTGCTTACTCTATGTATTTATTCTAACTTTTTTTTAATGATTGCTCACAACCTTGTAAATATCTTCAAGGCCCACTGCTAGTTCACAGCCTGCATTCTGAAGGACACTACCCCAGACTGTGGGCATGTGGCATGAGGATTCTGCCCAGACATGGAAACCACCAAGGAAGCTGGTTTGTGACCTGTCTGCTATCCTGACCCCTCCTAACCCCGTCAATGAGTTTCGGCTGGACACAGGCCCCAGCATGGCCTCCATCGCACACACACAAGCCTTCCTAACCTGCCTTGTCTCCCCAGAGGTTACACTGGCACTCTGCCTTGCTCCCCATGACTTCTTAGAGGATGTCAAGGTGGGATGAGAGGTTGGGAGGTGCCTTTTGGTGTTATAGGTGCAGGGCATGCCCTTTTCAGCCTCCAGGTGCGAGAGAGCTTCCTGTTCAGGCAGAACCCTCATCCTCAGCACCACGCTGGCTCCACTGCAACAATGCCTTCAGCCTAATCTTTTACTTTCCCCTACCGGCCCCCACCACTCCCAACTCAGAATCTCTCCTAAAGCAGTGAAGAAAGCCCTAATGTGGCTTGTGCCTTTCCCCTCATCCACAGATGCTCAGAAAGCACTGTCCAGACCGAGGTTCAGGGTTCTGGTCCCATTCTGCCATCCGACCTCCCTATCTGTCTGTTTGTTTCTCCTTCATGACCCACTAACATAAGGGAAAATTACTTGCCCAATGTGACAAACTGAAGAGTCTCCCACCAGGAGTTAGGAGCCCCAGCCCCACGACCTTATCTCAGTAGCTGTGTGACAGTGAGTGAGACCATGCTTCTCTCTGGGCACAGCTCCCTCATTTTCTGGATGAAGATAATACCTTACCTGTGTGAGGAGAAGATGCAGAACCAGCTGATCTGAGACTCAAAGTGCCATAACAGCACCACCTCCCCTGCCCAGTGGGATGCTCGCATCCAAGCATGGCCAGGAGCTGCCAGTTCTGGGGACTGCAGAAGGCAGCTGGGACAGAGCGCGCCTGTGATGCCTCCCCCCAAGCATTCTCCCAGGTGGGGCTGCCAGCTGTTAGCAAAGCTAGATTTTGTTCTTCAGGAGTGTAAAGCTGCCCCCTTGTATTATTTTCTATCACTGCCATTGCAAATAACTATTACCTTTGTGGCTTAGAACACAAATGTGTTCTCTTACAGTTCAATAGGCCAAAAGTCTGACACAGTCTCATTGGGCTAAAATCCAGTGAGCAAGGCTGCATTTCTTTCTAGAAGTTCTATAGGAGACTCCTTTTCTTGCCTTTTCCAGTTTCCAGAGGCTGTCCCCATTCCTTGGCTTGCAGCCCCTTCCTCCATCTTCAAAGGCAGCCATAACGGGTTAAGTCCTTCTGTCACAAATCTAACTTTCTCCTACAGGCACATCTCCCTGTAACTGTGACTTCTCTCCTTGCTTCCTCTTCCATTTTTAAAGAACTTTTTTTTTTTTTTTTGAGACAGTCTCATTCTGTCACCCAAGCTGAAGTGCAGTGGCACAATCTTGGCTCACTGCAATCTCTACCTCCCAGGTTCAAGTGATTCTCCTGCCTCAGCCCCCTGAGTAGCTGGGATTACCGTCATTCACCACCATGCCCAGCTAACTTTTTTATTTTTAGTACGGATGGGATTTCACCATGTTGACCAGGCTGGTCTCAAACTCCTGACCTCAAGTGATCTGCGCACCTCAGCCTCCCAAAGTGCTGGGATTACAGGTGTGAGGCCCCTTGCCCAGCCTTTTAAAAAAACCCTTCTGATGACATTGGGCCTACTGCATAATCCAGGATAACCTCCCCACCTCGAGATTATTAATCACCTCTTCAAAGCCTCTTTTACAAATGTAAGGTCACACATTCACAGCTTCCAGTGATTAGGATGGGGACATCTTTGGGGGCCATTACTCTGCCTACCACAGGTGCACAGGCCCACAGACCTGCTGGATCAGGTAGCTTAATGCCCTCATTCTCCAAGTGAACAGAACATCAAGGGGAGAGGAAGGCCTGGCCAAGGGTCACACGGTGAGTTAGCGGCAGTGTCAAAGCTATACCCCTAAGCTCCCTGTCTCACAGTTCCCTCTGCAGACCCACCACTTTAAGGTTTAAGGTGACTCACTTTAAACAAGAAGGACTAAAAGTGATCAGTTTTCCAGACTTGGCCAGAGTACAAAAGTCCCTCTCCTGAGACAAACTCACCCATGACTACATTAGGCTGGAAAATGTCCTGCTGGTATCTACACTGTCAGATACAGAAGAACAGGGATCCAGCGGGTGGCCTGAGAACACTCCTATCAGGTACAGGAACCAAATGAAATGACTGTTCAATTAGTTGGAAGTCTCTCTGATACTTCTGCCTCGTTCCAGTTTAGCAGCTTCATAAATTTTTTAAAAATCTATAGCTTAAATTACAATTTGAACTGCTTCGTTGGATTTCTGGCTTCCATTTCAGAAAAAAAAATTAGATTCATTTGTGATAGAGCAAAGAATATTTAGATGCATTTGGATTGCTTCAGGGCTCACATATGTCTGCGCCTGTATGGATTTGAGGATTCTGGCTTTGTTCCGCTTAAACCAGGTCTACATCCTTATACCTGTTTAAAGAAAAAAAAATAGAAAATTCAAGAGAGCAAATTGATAGCCAGCTACTGATTATTATTAATTGCCTGTTAACAAAAGACACAGTTGAAATTCCAGTGAGTGGGAGGTGTTTTTATGACCCTCCCATTAAATGAGTAGCTGTTTGTGTGATCACTTCCTTAGTGTGGACCTGGGGAGGTCCGGAGGACAGGGGAGACCCAAGGAGTTGTCCCATTTTCAGAAACGACCCAAAAGATGACACCAAGACTAGGAGCGTGGAGCAATCCCAAGTCCAAACCACAAGGTTGAATTCTCAGTGACTTCAGAGGATTTGATCAATCAATTAATCAATCAGTTAATTAATTAATGGCACATGACCCCAGACACAGGCTCTGGGGGGATGTACCGCAGCTGAAGAGGGTGAAATGATTGAGCCTCGCTGTTAGCATCCGTCGTCAGAGGACTGGGCTGGTTGCTCGCACACTGTTGCTTTGTTGTTTTTGGCAGGGAGAGGCCGGAGTTATTCTATTTTCCTCTTTCCAGCTTGAAGCTATTTTTGTGAGAGTTTCAACCACGAACGTTCCTAGTGAGAAGCTTGCGGAGCCACAGCACTGATGAGGGAAGACCAGAGTCAACAGAGGGTCTCTGGAGAATGGCTCTTGGTGAACTGGGAAGGAGGGCGTCGGAGGCGGGCCCTGCCCACAGGTGTGATCCTGGTGGGCAGTGTGTTCCCTCGGGTAAAGCTCAGCACAGCCCACCTGAGCCCACAGGCCCAAAGGAAACCTCTTCCTCCACAATCTCAGAGATTTTGCTTCAATTTTAAGAACCAACCTCTGCACGGAGCTGAGGGTCTCCATGAGATCCCAATGAATGAGCTCCCATGTTACAAAGAAAATGGGGCTTGAAGAGGGCAGGGAATTGCTGCTGCAAGAGGAGAGAATGCAGCCGCACACGGCCAGGGCAGACCTCTGCTGCACAGAACAAGCTCTCTGGCATAACAGGAAAGGGGACAGGGGAAAGAAGAAGGGGCAAATGCAGGAAAGACCCAGGAGCCCCCGCCATGCTACTCTATGGAGTGACTGCTACCGTGCCGGGCACTTGCAGTGAGGCAAGGAATTTCTAATCTGAGCAGGGAATACTGACATGTAAACAGAAGACTGCCAAAGAGGAATCTGGGTTTTCCCGTTGAAGGGAAGTGAGAGAGCAGCATATGCAAAGCCCAGGAGGCTGGAGGAGGCATAGTTCATGAGACTGCACGCAGCAGGAGAACCCAAGCAAAGACAGGAAGGCACAAATGTTCTAAATGACCGCTGAGAGGTAGACAGGTGGTGAAGGATGAAGGGCCTAGCCAGCATGCTGAGAGGGGTGTCATGGCTAAAGTCCTTCAAGCTCTTTCCTTTGTTCCCCAAGAGGCTAGGAAGACCTTTCCCACCCAAGGAATTTCTGAGCTAATATCTTTCTCCCCACTCACTGGAGATTCTTAGCCTCTCAGCACATGGGATCTTTTTGTGCATGCATTTATGTGTTCCTAAGGCTAACAGGTTATTCTAGAGGGCATATGGTCCATGGGGACTATGAAACAGGACTTTAGGACCCAACCACACTTGAGGACAGGTAGAAGAAGGAGAATCACAGGGTGAAACCCTGCCTCTACTAAAAATAGAAAGAAAAAAAAATTTAGTTGGGCGTGGTGGCATGTGCCTGTAGTCCCAGTTACCTGGGAGGCTGAGGCAGGGGAATTGCTTGAACCCAGGAGGCGGAGGTTGCAGCGAGCCAAGATCACACAACTGTACTCCAGCCTGGTGCCCGGCGACAGACCGACACTCTGTCTCAAAAATAATAATAATAATAATAATAATAATAATAATAATAATTCAATTTCACATTTGATGAAACTGGTACTCGTTTTTCAAGAACAAAGCAGTGGGTTGGCAAAGGCTTTGGTCAAATCAGAAGACTGAGTTTCTAACCTGTTTCTGCTGCAAACTGACCACATGACTTTGGGCCCAGTTCTCTTCACTTCTGTGGGCCTCAGTTTCCTCCTTTATACAAGGGGAGGGGATGAAAATGGACAAATAATCCCTTTGGTGCCTCCTGACTCTGTCTATGAGTTGAAGCTGTAAGTGAATGTCAGGCATCTAAGCAAATATTTAATTTCCTGCTCAGAGCCCCCATGTCTCCATCTATAAAACAGAAATGCTGATGTTTAGTTTTCAGGGTTATTACGAGGATTAAATATGTTTAAGGGTATAAAACACATTTTGTCTTTTCTTCTTTTCTCTT